GACTGAGCTCTTAAGATCCAAATGAGGAGCAGAAGGAGGGAGAACATGAGCAAGGAAGTCAGGACCACGAGGGGTGCACCCACCCACTGAGACAGTGGAACTGATCTATTGGGAGCTCACCAAGGCCAGCGGGACTGGGACTGAATAAGCATGAGATGAAACCGAACTTTCTGAACATGGCGGACAATGAAGGCTGATGAGAAGCCAAGTCCAATGGCACTAGGTTTCGAACCTAATACATGACCTGGCTTTGTGGGATCCTAGCCTGTTTGGATGCTCACCTTCCTGGACCTGGAAAGAAGTGGGAGGACCTTGGACTTCCTGCAGGGCAGGGAATCTAGACTACTCTTCATTCTCCAGAGGGAGGGGGAATGGAGTGGGGGGTAGGGGGAGAGGGGGAGGGGAGTGGGAGGAGGGGGAGGGAAATGGGAAACGGGGAGGAGGCAGAATTTTTTTTCAACAACTAAAAAAAAAAAAACAAAAAAATATTTTTAACGAAAATAAATAAATAAGTACTGGCCAGGTTAAGGACTCTAACCAGAAAGGAAATAGCCCCAATGCATTTAAGTTTGCAGGGGCTTGAAAAGGCCAAACCCACAATTCACTGCATTTCCCACCAGATCCAATCAGGGGCAAGCATTTGTCCTGATGTATTTCCTGCCTCCTGCCCATATGTGATCAAACATATCTGGTGTAGTTAGCCAAACAAACTTGTTTAGGGAAGTGAAAACTTGTGGCTTGTTATCGACCATAAACAATAGACTCCAGCATTTTACGAAATATTGATCCTTGGGCAAGGAGATTACAGGTTAGATTCATTCTTGTTTCATGAATCTCTTAGGCATAGTAATTAAAATTTAAAATAAAGCAGGCAGTTGTGGCACATGCTTTTAATTCAGCGTTCAGGAGGCAGAGACAGGAGGATCTCTGTGAGTTCAAGGCCAACCTGATCTACAGGGCCAGTTTCAAGACTGGCTCCATGGTTACTGAGAAACTATCTCAAAAAACAAACCAAAAAAATTAAATATAATTTTGGCTCTCACAGGTTCTGCATAGTTTATGTTAGACTATGAACATTAATTCTCCATGAATTTTCCATCTTATTTTATGAATGTGGGAATCACCTAATTTTCCTTGGCTCAGGGTAAAAGTGTCAATTATTGGCTGCAAATTTTTATAAGAAAATATCAGGCCTTCAAATACTGTGTAGCACACTATATTTTCTCTTGCATTTGACAATAGCCTCTAAGAGCAAGTACCTGAAAGAGTTCGTAGTTCAAATTTATGTTAATTCTAGGGGAATGACTCAATTTGGGTAGAGGGTATTATTTCTTATTAAAATATTTCTATTTTTTCTTGTGTCTTTTTTGGTTTGCTTTTTGTTTGTTTTTGTTAGGGATCAAACTCGGGGCCTCAAGTATGCCTTACAATTGTTCTAGCATCTGTTTAATATCTTGAGCCATATTTACAATAATAACTAGACACATAAAATATAAGCAGAGGGTTCAAAAGAAAAGGATTGGTCAGCCATCCTGTATCACCTACCATTTGCAAGGCACAACACTACACTGAGAGATTCATAATGACGCACACAATAGCATTCCTATTTTATCTTGTGTTGTTTTTTCATCTTAATCATAAAAGCAAACTTGGAAAGTCAATATATGACTACCCCATATCCTTTGTAATATCAGGTGATACAGGAAGAAGGCAATACTTGCGTCCACTGAAACTGTATGGCCTATTGTGACTCGGCAAGACAATGCAAGGGTTGTTCCATATTATATTCTTGTTGAGGCCATTTCAGGTTTAACTAGAATTTGATCTCCTTGATGGAGAATCCTATAAAAAATTTCTCAACTCCATTCTAGTTCAGGATGTCCTAGCTGATTTGTCTTAAGCCTGTTTGTGCTTACCGGTTCATCTGTACCATTGGGACATCCATCTTCGGCCTACAGGCCCATAGCTGGTGACTTAATTTAGCTGCTTCTGCAAAGTCTAACCCTCAAACCCTTTGTAGCTATTGACTGAGGTGTCAAGATGTGGTCTTTACTTTTAAAAACTCTGTGCTCAGGACACTCGAAGGACACCCAGGACACCCAAATACCAGGGTGCAGCCCCAGCCAGCTGGTATAAAGACTCTCAATTGGCTGTGGACTTTGTCTGAGAGGCCATCTCTGGTGGCTACCTGTAACCCTGACACTAAGTTGTATCCATGTGTGGAGATGGTTTTCTGTTTAAAACAGTATCTAGTAAGCCAGGCATGGTGGCTTACCCTTCTAATCTCAGTGCTCAGGAGGCTGATATGGCAGGCTTGCTAGGAGGTGGAGGCCAGCCTAGTTTACACAGTTAAAGACAGTCTGGTTTATAAAATGAGTCTGTCTTACAAATACAAAATAATACAAATTTTTTTAAAAAAAAAAAAAAAGGAAACAAAGAAGGCTTGTATAAAAGTTACAAATCACCATGCTTTACTTTATTTATTTACTTGTTTGTTTGTTTACTTAATGTGCACTGGTATTTGGTCTGTACGTGTGTCCCGGTGAAGACATCGGGATCCTTGGAACTCAAGTTTTACAGACAGTTGTGAACTGTTATGTGGGTGCTAGCAATTGAACTCAGGTCCTCTGAAAGAGCAGCCAGTGAGTGCTGTTAACCTCCTAGCCATTTCACCATGCTTTATTAAGCAAATCAAGAGTTCTAGCCAGCTGGCCAAAAGCAGGCCAGGGTGTCTTTACAAATATAACCTTTGATTTGTAAAATGTGTCAAAAAGCCAAGCTTCCAGAGGAATCAGTTGTTTTTATATCTCAGGACCTTTTCTCAGCAGGAAAGGAGGGCCCTTTGGGTGTTGTCAAACACTTTGTAAGATGGATGAAAAGTCATTTGTTTTATTTGAAAGCAAATGGGGCTCCCAAAGGAAGAAGGGACAGTCAGGGCAATTTGACCTTTCAGAAGCTATTTCACCATATATTTCTGTTATATTAAACTAAAGTAGATGAGAATTTATTTATCCTTGCATTTTCTAGGAAAAGCCTACAAGAATGAGAAAATGGTCATATTTATAAAACACGATCTGTGAGCATATCCACCTCTATCATTAAATAGCATGCCCATACTTTTTCTACAAAAGGCCAGAGTTGCTCTACAGTCTTGAATTCTACCTGTCTGTTGAAGTTGCCCCACCCCCATCAATCATCCGGAAATCACCGGTTTACTATGATCATTCAGTGGTCTGTTTCAGGAATCTGACTAGGTAACTCTCATTTATTTATTGTATTTTATAATTTAAAAAAATTGATGAAGCTGTCCAAGAAAATACATCACTGTATGTCAGTTTTATGATTACAAACTAAGCTTGCGTATTTGTCAATATAAACATATTCCAAACCACAGAGAAAAGACGGGGCACAAATTCTTCAAAGCTGACGATCATGCAACATAAAGTACTAATGCTATCACGAGAATGACAAAACACCACCCATGAATTAAGGCTTCTACACTGCAAAAGTCACAGTTCCCCAAGCTAGTAAGACCCATCTTTTACTCTGCTTTAATGGGAAGTATCATTTTCTTATTATAGAAAATACTTATGAATTATTACTTACTTACTAACTTAAGATATATTTTTCTTTTAAGAATAACAGAGGATTACCTAAAACAATACCAAGTAAGTCTCCCCAAATTCTCCAAAATCTATCCAAAGGTAACTTTGGAACAAAGTCATGAAATTATTATAAAATATTAGAGAGATCTTTTTAAATGTTCCAGAAACTAAAACTTAAGAAATGAAAAAGTGAACTAAATTGATTTTCACAAAATAAAAGCTTCAGTATATCAGAAAGGAAAAAAAATGATTATATCTTAGATAATGTAGAAGAATCACATGACAAAGAGCCAGTTTTGTAATCTTTTTAAAGATTTATTTAATTCCTAATTATGCGTGTGGGAGGGGTATGTGCACACATTGTTGATGCCTCCAGAGATCAGAATACAGCATCAGATTCTCTAGAGTTGGCCTTACAGTCTGTTGTGAGGTGTAAGACATGCATGCTGAACACTGACCCCAGGTCCTCTGGAGCAACCATCCCACCAGCCTCTAACTTTATGATGATATTAATAAAAGGCATGATAGAAACCACAATAGGAAAAACTAGGAAGACGAACACGTCTTTAAAAGTGGAGACATATCTACTTTTTGTGTAGATGTCACTTTGCAACTATTCAAAGTATAGAGGCACATTTTTTATTACTATTCCAAGAATTTCCAGAACAATGAGAAAATGGAAAAAAATTTATTAGTAATAATCCAATGAAACTCAAGCCATATCTTTCTAGTTAGGTACTGTGCAGCCTGAATGTTATCTTTCAAGGACAAGATATAACTCGAAGTAGCCCACGTGATTCTGATAGAAACCAAGAATGTCTCCAAAATTTGTAGATTTCATTTATAAGAGATAAGATTATATTCTTATTGTAAGATTAGTTTTAACCAATAATTATGCAAAATGTCAGTTCTGAATACTCATGATTTATAGTTATGCCTCAACCACTATAAAACTCAGATTATTATTAAAAAGTACCTTCCCCTCTTTCTTAACACTAAATTCAGGTTCTTGAAGATCTTTCATAATTTCCGCTCTGAGATCCGGTGGTGCTGTTTTGCTAAAGTTGCAAGTTTCTGTCAAAAAATCCCAAAGCAGTTCTCCATTTTCATTACCATCAGTAAAACAGTCTGTAATGTCCATGGTGGACAAAAGGTCATAACACTCATACTTAATCCCCAGGCCGTCCAGTATCTGAGTGAGATCAGAGGATGTGACGTACTGGCAGAGGTCATCCCTGGGTAGGCGGGATCCATACTTTTTCCATAGCTTGTCCCAGCCACTAGTTCCTATGCAAAAAAACAAAGTTCATGTTTTCTTTCTTTTTTATTTCTTTTAGCTTCTTCCAGTCATTATACTATACATTTAGAATAGAGCAGTCAACAAAACAATATTCAGATCCTTTGTGGAGCTTAATTCAAGTAGCATAACAAAAGTTGGGAGAAAATTAAAATAAATAACTAAATGTGTACCTATGATGTAACGAGTAAATGAAAAGCAATCAGAGTAAGGGATGAAGATGGTCAGAGCCATTCAGGCACTGCTGTTTTACCTATGGTGATCACGGAGTCTGTTTAGTATGGTGACATTTGAGCAACCATAGCTAGACATCACAGGGAAGATTACTCCAGATGGAGGGAGCAGCTACAAAGGCTGTAAAGCCAAGGCAAGGCCAGCGCACTTAAGAACTGACCAGGAAGCCAAGAAAATTGGAGTTGAATGAGCAACGGGGAGAAGCAAAAACACAGTAATGAAATATTTTAGTATACAATACTCTTCATTTAAAACAAAATTCACATATTTTGTACTTATTTCTCTTCTTTTGCATTTCATTTTTCATATTGAAAATCAAAGAGTTCTGCTAGTTACCACTAAGTGAATACTTTCTGAGTTGGAATTGCTCTGTAACAGAAGCATATGAACACAGAAGAAAATATAAGATCAATTATAGTATACAGACCAGTAAATGACACAACTTTCTTCTGATTTCAACCTATCTTTCTTGTCCTAATTTTGCTTGTTTATCATATATAATTTTGTCTGACTATCAGCATATCCAGCATATATGCCCATGAGAATGTATGTTTGTTTTTCACCAAGCCTTTTATTTCAGCATAAATACATGTGCAAACACAAAGTTTCTGTGTTTTATTCGTAGACATTCTTAGATGAATCATATTCTCCTTTTTGGGGTGGACTTTTAGAACCTTGTAGGTCCGGCATCACAAAACACAAATAACAACTGCTCCACTGAATCCAAACATTTGTTGAGCATTTTCTGTGCACCCAAGGCTTCCCAAAGGTGCAGCAATAGACTGAGAGGCAAAGGTACTGATCTTCACTCTCCTGAGTTCCTAAGGGTTTCTGAAACAGCAGGAGAGTGCCAAGGCAGTGATGGGAGACGGGATACACAAGACACTTGCGATAAAAACTATAGCCATTTACTCTGCATTTGTCATCATTATGTGTGAGAGAGATGACTGGGAAAACTAGAAACAGCCTAGTTGACTAACTGAACCGATGAAAAATGACTAACATATTTGGCAGTACTCTTTCTTCCCTCAGGTTGAATATCTTATTTAACTGCAAACCAAACTACTAGAAAAGGTATAAAGTATTTCAATTTCTATTTAATTAATCTATTTAATATTTCTGACAAATTTAGGCAAATTTCTGGAATATCTTTTCTTACTTTACTCAGTGGTTTAAGAAGAAACTAATATGACCTTTCTTTGCAGTAAAACCTCCTCCAAGAAGTAGCTACTATGGTAACAGGAGGACCTCATCCGAGTTCCAGGTTAATGAACTGAACACTCTCAGGTGTTCATTCTAGGTTCTAGGAACTATATTGATTATAAACGCTTACCTCTTTCAGACAACAATCTCCTATTCTTCAGTCAGGATAAGAGCGTGTAAACTACTTATTAAAAAAAAAAAGTGAAAACCATTTCCACCATCTGGCGCTCACTTATGGAATAATTTCCGGCTCAAAATTAATCTTTTTTTAAAAAAAAAGTTAACTGTCTTTACTGTCTTTTTCGTTCCATATAAAGATATACAGTTGCTCACCTGGATCCCATGCATGAATATATGGGCCTGGCTATCCAAAAATAGCCTAAAATTAACTAAAGCTACACATGTAGAAAGCACACTAGCATTCATGCCCCATGTGTCCTCATACCTTTCCCTGGGCCTGCTTTGTCCTCGCATTTCTTGATGCCAATAAGTATGGGTTATAATAACTCTCCATGCAGCAGCCATCAGACTACTGTATTTATAAAGGTGCTAGGCCAACTCTAAATTGCACATAGAATACTTATACCACATTTTAAAGAATATAATGCTTTTTTCTTATTAACAAATACCTAGCATTTAAATATTGATCTGCTCAAAATGTCAGATCCACTAGTAGAATGGTTATTAATATGAAGCATGTCAATTCCAGATAAATTTTTCTTCAGAACAATGTTTCTGTTTTATTGATGCAGATCATAAAAGTAAGTTTCCACAACATGGAAAACCAAGTTCCCTTTTGTAATACAAAGCACTTCTTACTAAGTGTCCTAATTTAGACATAGGTTGGCAAAAAAGATTCAATTTACATAATCCCTTCAAAATGAAAAACAAGACCTTTCCCACATAAATGAGTCATTTTAACTAATTAAAGGTAAAAAATAGTATATCAGAATGTTTGCTTGGTGGTATGGGAAGTCCTTCTGTATATGTGTTGCTTTTATTAGTTAATGAATAAAGCTGTTTTGGCCAGTGACTTAGCAGAATAGAGCTAGGCAGAAAAACCAAATGAATGCTGGGAGAAAGAAGGCAGAGTCAATGAGAATCCATGTAGCCAACGCAGAAGACAGCCACCCCCAGGAGCTCGCAGGAACATTGCCAGTAGGCTACGACCTTGTGGTAATACATTAATGGAGCTGTGTTAGTTTATGATATAAGAACTAGCTAGAAGTACACTTAAGCTATTGGCCAACCAGCGATTTAATTAATACAGTTTCTGAGTGATTACTTCAGGTCTGAACAGGAATGAACGAACAGGCTCCGCCTACAGCTTGGAGAGTCAGTTATATACAAGAGTTCCTGGCTCTTAACCCTTACACAAAGTAAAGCCCAGGGTTATAAGCACAACTGCATCTGCCATTATAAAATTTATTCCTCATATGTGAAGACAAATTTTGTGGCACAGTTTCAATGCATGGAACTGTTGTCTGGTGATGCTGATAAGGACTGCGGTGTATTCAGAAACCGCCACCTAGCAACAAGTAAACAACACATGAGATCCAACAAAGAACTACTAAAGAAAAAGATAGGGCATGGTGGCAGGTGCCCATAATACTCCAGTAATTCTGAATCCAATCTACGCTACACAGCAAAATCTTATGAATGACCTTAATGCCAATGTTTTCTAGGTAAAACTATGTGACATGATCCTGGAAGCAACACACTAATCAAATGTCCTCTCTGAAAAAATAAAACTATACCACAAAGTAAAACAAATGGATCATTTTAACAGTTTATAAAAGAAGCTATAAGGAGCTGTGTTAATGGTGGCTTTAGAAATACAAAGTAATTGCATCCAAATATTCAAAATTTTATTTACTTATTAGCAAATCTCAAAGAAGGGAGAAAGCCATTCAAGTGACATAAGATTGGTAAGCGTAATCACTGTATTTATTTGTTCTCATGCTAAAAATATTATCCCTTGAACTTTCTGTTCTATAAAACAGATGCAGTGCCACTCGGTTTCAGACAACTTGACACAAGTCTGGACGCACCTTCGAAGAGGGATCCCCAACTGAGAAATATCCTCCATCAGGTGAGCCTGTGGGCATGTCCACAGGGCACATTTTTTTATTGTGAAATAATATAGGCGGGTACAGTGTGGACAGTGCCATCAGGAGGCAGGTGGGCCTGGAAGCAAGCCAGTAAGCAGCATTCCTCCATCGTCTCTGCTTCATTTCCTACTTCCTGCTTTGAGTTCTTACTTTGACTTCCCTCAGTGACGGGCTGTAAACTGTGATCCAAATAACCCCTTTTCTTCCCACATTGGTTTGGATAAATGTTTTATCACAGTCACAGAAAATAACCAGAGCAGATGCATATGCACAAGGCAAAGAATTTTTCTTCTTTTCTTTTTCGTAAGGTTCTATTAGAGTTTATTTTGAATTGTGTGTGTGTGTGTGTGTGTGTACGTGTGCACGTGCATGTGCACATGCATTAAGCTAGAATTACAGGTAGTTGTGAGCTGCCTGAAGTAGGTGCTAGAAAGCAAATTCCAGTCCTCTACAAAAATAATGTATGCTCTTAACCATTGAGTCATCTCTCTAATCTCTATAAGGATATTATTCCGAATAGATAGAAACAAAAAAATTTTGATTCCACTAGGTTCTTCAAATTGTGCATTGTTGTGAATGACATTTCTACTTGTCTAAAAATTAATTTAAAATGAATTTCATAACAAACACAAAATATACTAACTTTATCTAAACACATGAATCCATGTATATGTTCAAACTGCTATTTTAAAACCCAACTGACTGAAATAGCTTACCTGAGACAAGGATAATGAGAATCTTAGCGTTGGCAGCTAAGAGACCATGGAAGAATCTCAGAGTAGCTGGAATATCCTTTACATAATACAGCATCTAGGTGGGAGGGGAGAAAGAAATGAGATGTTTCTTTATGATGCTTTGGACTACATAGTTTGTATGTTTGAACTACATACTCAGTGGAAGCTTTGATTTTTCACACTAAGAAAATTTTTACCAGGAAAAAATCTTTAAATGTTTAAAGATCAGAGAGTTAGAATAATAAGACATTTAGGGAAGGGCAAATATGCCATCTGCCCACCTATAGGCAAACAGCTTTTGTTGCTTTTTTCCTCCACTCCTGGAGATGGAACCTAGGGCCTCGCATATACCAGGCACACACTTTGCACCCACACTTCATCCTCAGTCAGCAAAACATCTTTAAACTTACTTTCATCTTTCCATAACACAGACCTTACACACCTGTAACTAAAAGTGTTTCAAATTTATTCTTGCAAGTGGAAAACAGAACTGTGCCTATTCTCGTTTTGTGAGTTTTGCACTTATATGAGAAAATGGTGTTAGCAAAAAGAAAGCAAACCCTGTTTCTAGAATATTACTTTAAAATCCAGCCTTTGGACAAGATTCTCCATAATCTCACATACACATTTTCTTTTTCTTAATCACATGCACACACACACACACACACACACACACACACACACAAAGTGACAAGCTATGACATGGACAGAATCTCTAGGACAGTGGAAAATATAAAGCATAAAATTATGGTTATCATCACAGGATATTAGGGACTAGCCAAACCAGTTTTAATAATTCTAGATCATTCCTAGTCAAGTGCAGGTTATTCTAGCCTTAACGACATGTATCCTTTAGCCACTATAGAATCTACCTAACAGAAACCTTTTATATCTCATGCTTATCTCTCTTGGACAAGAATTCACTTTTTCGTGTGGTATAACCATAATAGAATTCACAGAAAAATAAGGGTCAAATAATTTAGCTATGACTTTTCCCACAAGAATGAATGAAATAAAATGACCCTTCATATGGCCCATAAACTTCAGGAGCCATGATTCAAGTCTCTTCATGAAGTTTACTATAGACACCCAGATCACCAAATTCATGGCTATTGGTCACAACAGATGTTTTATCTAAAACACACTGGGATTTTTAGGTTGACCGTAAATACCAAACTGAAAGCAAGTCATCAGAATGTTTGGATAAATATAGTATAAATAGCAATGAAGAGACATAACCTAGACACATGTAAAGTACATAAGAAGGGAAAGAGAATAGACTTTTGCTTTAAGAAAGAAAACAAATATGGAAGTTCTAAGGGAAAAGCACGCACCACCACCGCCTGGCTTGGAAGTTCTAAGACAAGTATGTAAATCTCCAGAGCTATAGCACTGTACACCAGGGAGAAGAGTAGGCTATAAGGCAGAAGCAGAAGAAATGGCTTTTGATAAGCAGTAAAGAGACACAGGTACAAGGTGCACAGGTACTGGATTGTAAATTCAGAGGGTGTGGTGGTTTCCGACAAGAATGGCCCCATAGACTGATAGATTTGAGTGCTTAGGGAGTGGCGGCAATATTTGTTCCAGGAGATATGGTCCTGTTGGAGGAAATGTCACTGGTGGTGGGCTTTGAGGCCAAGTGTCTCTCTGCTGCCCGATGATCCAGATATGGAATTATCAAGCTATTCCCTCCACCATGTCTGCCTGCATGCCAACATGCTTCCCACCATGATAATGGACCAAACCTCTGAAACTGAACAATAGCCTCAGTTAAATGCTCCTTTTAATAGGAGTTGTGATGGTCATGGTGTCTTTTCACAGCAAGAGAACACTGACTAAGACAGAAGTTGGTACCAGGAAGTGGGTAATGCTACCACAGGACTGACCATGCTGCTTATTGAAAGAATGTGAACTCAGGGACTCTGGATTAAGAAAGCAGTTGAGGGGCTGGAGAAATGGCTCAGTGGTTAAGAGCACTGCCTGCCCTTCCAAAGGTCCTGAGTTCAATTCCCGGCAACCACATGGTGGCCCACAACCATCTGTAATGAGATCTGATGCCCTCTTCTGGCCTGCAGGCATACATGCAGACAGAATATTGTATACATAATAAATAAATAAATAAATAAATAAATAAATAAATGAAAGCAGTTGAATGCTTTAGCATGACTTAATGGGCCAAACTAGTAGAAGCATGGAAGACAATGGTACTGAAATCAATACAGATTATGAGAGCTCAGGTCAAGAAGCTTCAGAGGGGAAGAATATTAACAAGTGGCCAAGGGACTGTTCTTGTGATATGTTTGGTGAAGAATGTGAGTGTTTTCTACATTTGACCAAATAATCTATCTGAGGCTAAATTGAAGAGTTTTGGATTAACAGCATTGGCGGAGGAGATTTCAAGACAACCTGGTATTGATCAAATAGGAGTGACTGACTGGTCAGGGCAGGTTGCAGGACAAGTAAGGAGAAGAAGACTAGGAAACAGTTTCCTGAAGGTGGAAAACACATCTAGAGAAATATCATATGATTTCTGGACATGCTAAATACCTCTGACAGATAAAAGATTTGTTTTCTAAGGAATTAAAAGCTTGGACTGCTTAAATGCGTTGAGTTTAGACTCAACATTTTCTTTGTGATTATGAACCACAAGAAGAAAGAGTCCTGTTGACAGTTAAGTGCTCTACACAAAATAAAACCATGGCCTAATACTAAACAACTTCCAATACGGATATATTCTTTACTATCCAGAAATTTCAGTGATGCCTAGAATTGGCACCTCATACCATGTATGCAATCATCATTGCTTATTAGTCCATTGCTGTTGAAACATGGAAATAAAGACCTCCTAAATGACTGGCAAATATGAGTAACGCACTGTTGATCTATTATTATAAAACATGTCCCTTCTATTATATATATATATGTGTATATATATGTATATATATACACATATATATATATATATATATAAATATATATATATATATATATACACACTATCATAGAAGCCTACCAACAGAAAAACTGAGAGGATTCAGGAAAAAAGTCTGGAACATTTACATATATGCTGGTCATCTAAACCAAGAGAGTCATTGAAAACTCGCTAGAATATATAATCACTCTGCAGTTCTAAACAACTTTAACTGTCAAAGAGAGTCTCTGTATTTAACAACATCTTTTTAAGGCAGAAAGTGTTCATTTATAAAACTAGAAACCAAAAGATTTCATTTTAAACATGAAAATATAGTGCATTTTTATACAAGTTTGTGAAAAACATCTTTTTGGCAGCATCTTATTGTAAGACTATTTCTTACCTGAATCATATGAATAAAGTCCCACTTTTGAGGTTCTTCTTCCAACATCCGTTTTTGATATTCAGATGATGTTTCCTTGTGCCAAGCAAATTTTACATTCTCCATGTTTGATGTGTTGGCTACACGCTCTAAAATACCCAGAAAAGGTAGCCTATTATCAATTTTAATTTAATTATATATGGAACCCATTTTATTTAGAATTTTAATGCATTAACTATTATAGGATTATGATGGCTAAGTTGGTTGCCAGCTTGACTACTTCTGGAATCAACTAACACCCAAGAAGCTAGGCACACCTGTGGGGGGTTTTGAAGATCAGCCCTAGATTTGAACCATCTGATGTCAGAAGACATCAACGTATGGGCCATTCATTCTGGTGGTAGTTCACATAAATAGATGTGAAAAAGGGAGCCTTTTTTTTCTTTCTGCCTCTTTTGTCTTCATTCCTGCTGCTAAGGAATTCCTTTACTTTTAGAGCTTTATAAGTATCATAACATATTTTGTTGGGATTCCAGCACAGACTGAAGACCAGCTGAGCCATTCAGTCTTATGAACTGAACAACTATTGAATTATTGGCCTTTGCATCCAGAAGTCATTGTTGAACTAGCAAGACCACAGCCTGTTGGTTCTGTTCTACTAGAGACCCTAATACAGGAGAACAAAAAATAAAAGACACATATTTTTCTTTATTATCTAGCTCAGAAAATCAGAAGATTTGTCCAGATATTTGTTTTCTAGTACTTAAAAAAATGGAGGAAAAAGAAGTAAATTTGAAAATATAGTTAAATATAGGCTATACTATCTTAGTATAAAGATTAAACAAACTGCAGAATTTTATGAATAAAAATTAAATATAAAACAGATTAATGCATGAAGTCAATAAAGGAATTCAAGTATTCACTCTTAGTAGTTTCAAGTGTTTATTCCTGCCTGCCAAGAATTAATTAGGTTTTTCTCCAAATAAACTTACCAAATACATAGTAGTCAGTGTGCTATTAACCATTTGAAGCACACAAAAGAAACACACAAGCAAACAAACAAAACGGGAAGATAATAAACCTCTGTAGGTAGAAGTTAGTACACACCTTTGTACTTGACAATTTGCTCAGCACTTGGTTCAACAACTTCATTACTGATACAGATTCCTGGGTATTGAGCCTGAACTTTGGAGAGAATCTGCAGGTCAATCTCACCTAGAAGAGAAATAAATAGAGCAGGTTACACTGAATGCAGTAATTAAGAACAACTTGGACTGATTTACTTTCTGACTTACATTTAAAAAGACTTGCAAGAAGATTAACACTCAACTGTTGCATTGCCTAAATATCCCTGAAGCACAAACATTATATTCAGAGTAGAAATAATAATTTGATATGAAGAGGGGTGTGAATAAAGTTCATTTATTAATTCTTTCATTCACACAATCTTCATTCATATGTCTACCGCTGTGCTTTGACTTGCAAAGTTGTCACGAACTACAGAAGCAATCAGTAACTTTTGTTGTCGTCAAGTACAATTTTAATTATTCATCATTTGAAAGATATACTTAACCCAAAGTTGTTCAAATATGAGGAAAACACAACTTAGAACTAATAACTAATCTAGTCCAGAAGACACTTTAAAAAATTTTAAAGTAAAAAGGTAAGTGATGTACATACATACAGAATACAACAATATGTCAGATATTTCTTTTAACGTGCATCTTTCTCAGCAAAATGAAAAGAGATAGTTCAAATCTTCCCTTGTACTGTAGGTTCGATGGGGCTGGAGAGATGGTGCAATAGTTAAGATCCTTTGTATTGGTTTTTTTCAGGCTCTAAAATTTACTCTGACATTCTGTAGTGATCAATGTACAGAAATAAATTTGTTAGGCAAACGCAAGTGTATGGTTCCTCTTGAGGCTCCACACAGCCAGCGTCTGTTCTGGACGCTGGACTCAGACTCCTCTATGTCTCTAGCTACAGACTGCAGACCAGTCATTGCCATCACCACGTGAATGGACCTGCTATTTCTTTACATATGAATCCTGGCAATTCTCTTACTAGGACACTTTCACTAGTATGCCTTTACATCACGAGCCTGCAAAAACTGAAACTTTAACAAAATGGGTTCAGATTGATTAGGGTTCTTTTTATATTCACATGTCTACCCTAAAGCAGGTAAAACCGGGTATGGAACAACTAATATTAACAAGTTAGTGTTCAATTTAATGACACTATTAACATCCCCATATTGATGACCTTTTAAATACTATAACTGCTAAAGGTAACTGAGCTCAAAGAGAAGAAAAATTCCCCCAACCTACTTTTTTGTTGTTGTTTTCCTAATACCCAGTTATAAATTATTCCTTGTTAGAAACAGCTCTAGGAATCTACAAACAAAGCCTATAGATCGTTTCTGCCCATACACTTGCCTCTCCATTCTTTTTCCCAGCCTTGGAAGCCCAAAACTACTTCCTTCCTTTGTTCTCTCATCTCCTTACGAATGAATTGTCCTTTATTGAAGTTTCTTTACACACAGAAGTATCAAACCACTGCTTTGAGCTACTTCTCAATGGAGGTTTCTCTTCTCTTATTAATCTGTCTTTCTCTATGAGGGGCCACACAGCTAAGAACTCAAGGGAGGTAAAGGAAGGCAATATTTACATTCCCTACAATGCAGTATCACATAAAATACACAACAGTATTTTTAAAAAATGTACAAATGGGCAATGGGACACTTCTCACACATCAAATGCAATAAATTATTACAACACCTTACAGAGTTCTGCAGGGCCAACAATCAAAGTACAAAGGCTAAGTTATAACCAATAAGGAAGCAAGCAAGCATGCAGAGGGGTGCAGGGAACACTATGGAAGAGAAGACCCTTGGCACAGTCTATGTTTTAATGTTAACTCTCTGCTGGGTTTTAAACTGCTACACTAGAATTCTGACATTATTCTGAAGAACTGGTAGGTTTCTACATGATGCTTACAACTAAGATTCCCTTTAATAAACAGAATTACTAAAGGCAATTAAGGCTTTAAGGAAAATTAGACTTGAGTTTGTATTTCAGCCCTCAACTCTGGCACCTCCTACTGGATGATAAATATCTTAAACCCTTGAAGATCACAGGCATCTGAACATGAACTTCTTTGATTTGAAATGAAGCCCCCCAAGAGATGTCAGAAGAATAGTAACACCTGGCAAGTGTTGAGTCACGTTCTCACAGAATGACAAACCTCTAAGAGCACAACTCCCTGTCATTTCTCTTCTGAAAATAAAGTGCGTAGACAACCACTACATAATATAAAGAAGGAAAAACATCTAAGAATGTCTTGGTTACTAGTCAAGATGTTGAGGCACCAGGATCATGAGTTCAAGTCCAGACTGAACTACAGAATGATATCTCATCCAAAATGAAAACAGAAAAAAAGAAAAAACTCAAGACAACAAATGCACCAAAAAAATTTGAAAAGTTGCCTCTCTATAACAAGTTCACTTGCATATTTATTGATTTTCTATCTTATATTTCATATATACAAATTAGGCCCAATATAGCCTATGTTAAAGGATTACTATAAATATTACAATATATAAAGATAAGTGTTTATACTTAAATATATACAATAGTTATTGAATAAATTATAGCAATTATATATTAATTCAATAATTTAACATTTTTAAGACTTATATGTTTGCCTTTACTTTTGTGAGCACGCATTCATACATGTGCCTGTGTGTACCATCTGTAGACAAGTGCACACAGAGGCCAGAAGAGCACATTGGATCCCTTGGAGCTGGAGTTATGGGATGCTATAAGCCCGCTGACATGGATACATGTAACCAAATGCCAGTCCTCAGCAAGAACAAGAAATGCTCTTAATTCTGAGCCATTTCCCCACCCTAGTGTCTGTGTTCTAAACTGCACTGTATTATTTAATAGCAAAGGTCATGCAGAACCCCATTCTTTAATGAAGAGACTACATCACAACAGACCCAAGGATCTGCAAGATACAAATCTATATTTCAGGAAAATTGCAAAACCACATCATGACATATCATGTGTGTGTGTGTGTGTGTGTATCAGACCATTGTTCAATTCTTATTAATTCTATGGCTACACAATTGAACACAAATGCATTTCAAAGTATATAATCTTTTTAATTTTTAAAATTAGTTTGTGTGTGTGTGTGTGTACCTGTCTGTATATCTGTGAAGCATATATGCACCATGTCTTCAGAGGCCAAAGAGGACACTGGATCCCATGGGACTGAAGTTATTGATCATTGTGAGCTTCCATGTTGGTGCTTGGAATCCAGCCAAATCCTCTGGAAGAGCAGCAGTGGTTCCTAGCCACTAAACCAACACTGCATCTCATAAATAGTCTTTCCATTTACAAATGATAGTAATTTTGTCTGCACTTTGCAAATTATCACGTGTTTTACTATTTCAACCCTTATTAAATGAGCTCAATGAATCCTGTCCACTCTGCTTTTACAATAGTTCCAATGCTGTGAACTCATGTGTTGCATCATCTCCAAGGTCCTGTATCCCTGTGTTCCATCTCCAATGCCTTGTACCCTGTGTTCCATCTCCAATGTCCTCATCTCTAATGCCCTATATTCCTGTGTTCCATCACCTCCAATGTCCTATACTCCTGTGTCCCATCATCTCCTCCTTCTCATAATGTAATAACTGCTTTTTTGCCATATATTAATAATTCAAATTTAGCCATTTTAAGTTACAAGTAGTTAAGACCTTCACTAAAGTTTCAGTGCATATCTAGAAGGTCATGGATGAAGAAAAAAATATGATCTAAATGTATTAAATGAAAAAAAAAGTTAAAATTTTTCACATTTTCAACAGAACCAAACACTGACAATCCTGTGAATGAAGAGCCAATATCCTATAAGGGTACGCACAAAGCCATAGAATTTTAGACTATAAATAATTCTAATGGCCCACACATTCAAACTACTAGTACTTACGCCCTTTTCTAACACATCTGGAACTAACAGTCCGGTAACTAGCTCTTGTAGACCAAGCTGGCTCAAACTCACAGGGATCTGTTTGCCTCTGCCTCCTGAGTACTGGGATTAAAGGCGTGCACCACCACCGCCCCACTGGCAAATTCTTATAGTAAACTAAAAATTCACTCTCTTGGGCTTTCAATTTCTGAGAACAAATATTTTGTTCTTCTTTCAACATGAACTATCTGAAGATAGCAATAAGTACATTCAACTTAATTTCTCTTGCTCTCTCATCCCCAAATCTCTGTTTTCCATCATTCTCAATTTATTGATCCTTATAGCTAAACATTTGCTTCTTGCCATCTAATGAAAGAAGAAACGGAAGTACTACACTGATGTTACGAAGGATTTACCAAAAAACTTGCTTTCAAAACTAAGTTATACAAAAGTAAAATTTAGCTAAAAGAGCATGCCTCTGCTAGGCAGTTTGAGAGGTCACAACCTTGGCCGGCAGCCACTAATTAGGTCCTACGCGTCTTTCAGAAAAAGAACTATTACACCAGACAGGCAGGCATGATGACCCTGGTTAATCTAGACAAACTCAGATCATTAGTCCCCACTCTAATTATATTTGTCCTGCCGCTATCCAAAATTACGAGACACACCAGCCCTCTTGCTTACCTAACAGCTGGAACCAATAAACACCTGTGTTCTCTTAACATTTTATTTGAGAAAGGAGCTGAAAATAAGAATCTGCTAGGATCATATTTTCTCTTTTTCAAGCTTTTAACAAATGTACTTTTTTTTTATTTCACGTGCATTGGTGTTTTGCCTGCATGTATGTCTCTGTGAAGGTGTCAAATCCCTTAGAACTGGAGTTATAGACAGTGATGATCTGTGATGTGAGTGCTGGGAATTGAACATAGATCCTTTGGAAGAGCAGCCAGTGTTCTTAACCGCTGAGCCATTTCTCCAGCCCCAAAGATCATATTTTCAAATATTTGGACATTTATAAATTATTCATTATTATCAAATTAATAATTTTACGTCCATTTTGTACAATTTGTTGGACCCTGGGCTTTCTTCTACCTAATAATGCTCAAGTTACTTATTTGTAAAATAAGATTGAATTGGGGGCTGGAGAAGTAGCTCAGAGGTTAAGAGCATTGCCTGCTCTTCCAAAGGTCCTGAGTTCAATTCCCAGCAATCACATGGTGGCTCACAATCATCTGTAATGGGGTCTGGTGCCCTCTTCTGGCCTGAAGGCATACACACAGACAGATGCATAATAAATAAATAAATA